TTAATAACTTTTAATCTTATGAAGAACTAAGTATGTTTATAAGTGATTAAAAACGATTATAACAAACTGAGTATAAAAAACGTTCTCTCGGTAAAAATATCTATTGAACTTTTTCTAAGTAACTTAGTTCAACTCCAATGATCGATTGAATAATATTAGTTAGTAGGGCCTTGCATTTATATATATATTTTCCCACTCATATACAATGTAGACACTTCATATTATCAATTTGCATACAATACAACAGGAAACAACATAGTCACCGTGAGAATGTTCATTTTACAATAACAAGGATAGTTGCATTATTCTAAATTTTACACCGTCTCATAGAAATTTTTTATTGTAAACTATAACTTTTTTGACCAGGGTATACTCTCGAAGTAAACCAGCAATTTAGACAGCGTACAGTAGTCCCAAATTTATAATATGTTGCCAAAAAATCACAATATAGTTTAATATTTTGGAAAACTAGTATATGAATTTTTTTTGGAGTAGTTGACTACAAATCTAATATTAGTTTTTTGAAAAAAACAATGGGAAACATACAACTGAGGATAATAACTATGTCAATTTAAATGAAAGTAATGTTATTTGTGGCGAAATCGTTATTTTAATCGTGTCCTTTTTTATTGTTATTATCGGTAGGATTATTAGATCTGTGCTGGATAGATAAACATGAATTACTATTCACGAGATAATTTTTTTGATAATAATGACTATTATTTAGGTAAATTACAACAAAATTACTTGGTTTCTTTCTTTTTCCGTTAGCCGTTAGTTATTGTCACTTGAAGATACTATAAATCTCTTATTTTAATTGAAGATTTTTATTCAAAAATTTATTCATAGAACCTGACTCCATATGTCATCCTTAGATCATAAAAACTGGGTCATTATAAATGGTGTCGTGAACTTATAGTAACGATCATTGTACGCGATAAAGTGTACAACTTGCTTAAGAAACTATTTCGATGGCCCAACTCGTAAATCGAAACATTCGATCTACAAGGAACAAAAAAAAATTTGTAAAATTTTTCGCTGAAGTATTACAAAGTTATAAAAGTATTTTATAAGTATATCGAAACATTTTGTCCGTCACGTGTAAGATTTTTCGTTTTCTCGTTGTCCAACGCAGCTGACTTAGACGTGTGTGGATGACTTAAAAGACCTTAAAGTAGACAAATTATGCAAAAGAAGAAACGAATCTGGCATTAAAGGGGTACTTTTTAATTGTTTATTTTGTTAAAAATAAACTTACAAGAATAAGTAGAACACGAACATTTCGCCGTTTTTACAACAACTCTACTCTACTCTACTCTACACAGATGCATCAGTAATCGTTGTAAGCCATGAATTAATAGATTATTTCGTACATGACAACGGAAAAAATATTGTATCTGTTTGAATCGACGAGGAGTCAATTTATTTTATTATTATATAATTTATATTATCATTTAATCTTTATATCGATTATTTTACGATATTATTATTTATATTTTTATAAGATTTATATCTTATTGATTGCAAATACGTGTAACATTATTTAACAACAATGTATAGAAGTGTACCATAAAGAAAAGAACGTACGAAAGTACGTCTTACAGAGTAACCAGTACTACAAGTAACCTAAGACCGTAACCTAAAAATGCGGTTAAATCAAGATTTTTGAGGGAATTATGGTCACAGGAATATACTTTGGCGGACATTGATATTATCAATCTTTAGAAGTCTTCCAAATGTTCCAGTTTCTACTACTACATTCTAATTTCATATTTGTTTAAAATTTTTACGCGAATAATACTACTGATTTATATAAATTATATTTATTTGAGAAAAGTATTTCATGATATACGTATATATAACGTACAGGATTTTACGTCGATTTTAGATATTTAATAGATCTTCAAAAGGTAGATGTTATTGCTTAGAACTTGGACATATAATAAATATTAATTAATCTTAATCGTCATCAACATGGTCTCTGGAAACGATTACGCTATAGACTCTATAGGAAATTTTTTTACCTACATAAACATGAATGGACGTCATTGCTTATGTAAATAACCTGTGGAAACATTTTTTAAAGTATAAGATTTTTTACAATCGGATATACGTAATAGCATTTGAATTACCTTATTGAATTTATTTAATAAAGTTAATAAGAAGCAGTAATAATGAGTAGCTCGAATATGCTAATAAAGTTTTAGTTGATAGTATTGGTTGCACAAGTATATTCGAGGAATACGAAATAAGGTTTGGACGCTGATATAGCATTTTTAATCTATTTGCATCATATGGAAATATGAAAAAAAATTCCCAAATCACCAAAAAACTTTTATTTTGTTTTTAGGTGTAAAATGTATAAAAATAAAGAAAAAAGATATAACAAAAAGAAGCAAAATAACAAATCATCATTCCATCCAAGCAGTGTAACAGTTATCAGTATCGGTGATTCTCTTCGTGATCTTATACTGTTAGGGAGTGTGTTATTTCATAAATTAAATATTTGGATTCACTGCCGAACGTAGTTGCGTATATATACGCTCTGGTGATAGTGACCAGAAAATTGAACGTAACATATATATACGCTTATGATGCAAATGGGTTAAAATACATGGAAAAATTTTTAAAAGTTACAATATTAACGAGTTTATAGAAAATCTAATAAAAATTCAGAAGATTGGGCGTCCTCACATTACACAAGATTGAAGTTCGCATAGAATAAATGAAATTAGTTTTTATGCCGATATTTTATCCTTAACCTAGTCAGGGCAGGGTAAAATGTCTGCCATAGCTCTAGGTCTAAACAATAATAAAATTTATTAATAAAATTAGAATTTCTATTGTTAGGCGCCAGTTAGGTTTTCCTTAAGGGGGTATTCTACTTTGTAATTTTTTTTTTTTCAAATTTTTTTTTTTCGATTATTCGTAAGTAAATATATTTAAGAATACTCTCTGAAAATTTCAAAACGATCAGAGCATCCTAACTGTACTTTTTCGTCCCTCGAATCTACCCGTGCGCGGGTAAAAAAAGTACTTAAAAGAACTTTAAATGTGTTTTTCTCGGAATCACATTTTTGAACCGCGTGTTGTAAAAATCTCCAAAACTAGCTACTCGATTCGTCTGAAATTTTTACCACATAATCTATACACATATATCAACCGGTGGTAGCAGATTTATAAAAAAATTTTCATTTTAACTATTTTTTTTTGGCAAGAAATGAGAAAAAAAAGAGATTTTTTTGATRATTTTTTTTCAACTAACGCCATTTTGTTATTTTTGCATGTAAATGAAAAAATCTGCTACCACCGATTGCTGTAGTCTTTGTGAACATAAAACTATTCGAGTTTTTCATTTCAGATAATCCGATGTCCAGATTTTTACAACAGCGCAAAGGCTAGACTATTTTTAGGCGTTCAGTTCAAGGGCCTTTCCAATGTATATGGAGCGTATAAAATAAATAAAAAAAATTTTTTAATGTACTTTAAGAGTATATTTATTAGGCACAACAAACCCTACATCAATATCTTTCTTAGTTTTCTAATAAAAAATTGACAAAAATACCTATTTTTTCGAGCGACTAAAGTAGAATACCCCCTTAATTAAAAGGATACTATTACATAGAAAACTTCATTCAATCGATTGATAATAATTATTAAATGCGTATATATGGTTGTTCATTAATTTAATTCAACGTAAGATCGTTTCATTTACTGACATTAAATACCAAGTACCTTTATCTACGTAGATGTTTTATAATAAGGGATCAAATCCACTTGCAGAATGCATTAGTGTTCGTTTACTCGTCCTGAATACCTAACATAAGCTCGTATTTACTTTGAAGCTTATCATTATGTTCGTTTAAACGAGATACTTCTCAATAAATTTGAACGAGAACACTGGTAAGGTTACCAACACATTAATATTATTATAAATAGAAGGGTTACGTCAAAAGTTTTTAAGTGAAATTTTAAAATTGAATTACTAGTTTAACTTATATTTTCGCGATATTTACAAAATTTAATACTCTTATAAACAAACTTATTGAAAGATAGCAAAGTAAAAACAAAAAGTGGTTTATAGGATTAATTATTATTTGTTTATCAATATAAATAATATATTATTTTATTATCAAATATAATTGTTTGATATTTTAAATATTTTATTAAAACAAAACTAGATTTCAAGGATTGGTAATTATTTTATTATCAACTACAATTGTTTGATATTTTTAATATTTTATTAAAACAAAACTAGGTTTTAAGGATTGATAATTATTTTATTATTAACTACAATTGTTTGATATTTTAAATATTTTATTAAAATAAAAAAAGGTTTCTAGGATTGGTTTATTATTTTATTATCAACTACAATTGTTTGATATTTTAAATATTTTATTAAAACAAAACTAGGTTTCAGGGATAGGTAATTGTTTTGTTATCAATTACAATTGTTTGATATTTTAAATATTTTATTAAAAGACAAAACAAATGTTTATAATTTTATTTCAACAAAAAAGACGTTTAAGATTACAGAGTATGTTAAATGACAAATTTACTGTTTAGTTAGTATAATTAAACTATAATAATTTAAAATATAATAATTAATATCTCTTCCTTTTTAAACATTTCTAAATTCTAATACACAACGTTGCAAAATTTGTTTATTGATAAAATTGACCAAACAAATTATTTAAAGTGTATGTATATATATATCATTACTACTCACGTGACAAATACATATTTTATTTTTAAACAATAATCATAATAATATACTTGATTGTGTTTTATTTGATTTTATTTTCTATTCTTTGCAGGGAGGAAAATGTGAACCTTTTCAAATTTTCTATAAAATATATTTGTCTCAATTATTTATCGATATCAAAGTTTTTCAGTGAAATAATCGAAGATTGTTCATACGAAATGAATTACGAATAGGAAAAAAAATTTCAAAGCAGAAAATTCAATGAATTCTTTTTATTCGTCCTACGAATTATATTTTCCCTTCTTTTTTGTATATTCAAAAACGTTTTTCTTTCTATTTTCGGAACAAAATTCTTCAAACAAAAATACTTCGTCGTTCATACTTTGCCCTTAGATGTTAGGTCCGATCTTTTTCTTCTAAAAGTTGAACTACTTCTGAAAATGTACGTACAAATACGATGTATTTGTTGTTAAAAATAATTTGTAAAAAAAAAAATTAAAGAAAAATCTTGAAAAGAAATGAAAGAGCAATCAATCAAAAATCATTTTCTATTCTATTCTTTTGATTTTTTAATATATTATATATTAAATATGTAATATTTAAATTTTACAAAATTTAATATATAATATTTATAAATTAAATATATTATTATAATATAAAAATTAATATAAATATAATTGAATATATAATATTTCAAATTAGATATACAAAAATATAATATTTAAATATATAATATTTTAATATTACAAAAATTAAATATATAATATTTAAATGTTACACAAAATTAGATTAGAAAAAATATGTTAAAATATTACGAGATATAATACTATAATATTTTTTTATATTCTTTAAATTTATTTTTATTTTAACTATATAATTCTTTCCAAAACATTTAACTAAAAAAAATTATTTTTTTCCATAAAATTTATCTTTTTCTTTTATTTCTTATTTCTTTTCTTTTTACAAATTGAAACTATGCGTTGCATTCAAAGAGCTCAAATAAATCGATTAAATTTTTATACCAAAAAATAAATTTTAAAAAATTAAACGTACCGGTTTTCCTTAGATACATTGTTGATTCGTTGCCACTAAATTCATTAATGTTGCCAACTTTTTTGGTTTTTCCTCCTGTAGACATGGGAACATCACTGTTTCTCCATTTTATTCTGAAATGAACAATATCTAATCCCTATACAGAAAAATCTATATCACAAATTAATAATTAATCAAAAAAAATATCCTACATATTTAATAATAATTCAACTAAATAATCATAGATAAAATAATATTTTGTTTCAATTTGAA